GGCATGCTTGAATTAATTTTACAATCAAAGAAAGTGTGCTCTCACGTACAATCACTAGAAGAAGCCATAATAATATGTGGTCAGTTGTTTAATCTAAACGGGAAAACAAAATATAAAATCTGTTTCATCAAGTTTGAATGTTACGGGGGGCTGGCTTCATCACCCTACCCTCTCATTAAAGTGCATGACCACCACCACGCACGTTGATGGCTTCCCAATTATTCTCATTTTATATTTCAACTAATCAAAATTTAACACATTTACATCACATTATTTTCCTTCACATCTACCCTAACATAAATATTTTTATTATCATTTTTAACATCATATCCTTTTAGTTTTAGACCATCACAACAATGGTGTATGTGAGTTAAAGGCATGGAAGGGTGGGTACGTAGGACATGTGGGAATGCCACATTTCGATCGATGTCTTTCTTCGCTAAAAGTCAAATGCAATACGTACTCCCCTCGATCGCCACGTTGTTCTCTTTGTCGTCTTTAGTTTTTTTTTTTGTTCTTTTAATTCCTACCACACATGATCACACTCCTCTCGTTTGGCAACTTTTGAAAGTTTGTACCATTGCTTGCCCATGGATGTATGTATGCAGTAATTACCCCCAAGAAATGTATCTCAAAGTTACATTAAAAGCATATACTAATATTTTAATGGCTCAAATTCACACAAAATCTTGGTGCATTAAAAAAAATTGGACTAAAATTTTGTGTCTGTGTGAACTATCACCCTAACTAGCATTATACTGACATAAAATGATGGTGCACATCTGCAGTGTACAAAGTGGGATCCAAATCTTAGGGTACAAATAGCTTAATCAATGTACATATGATACTCTCTCCCATCAAAAACGAATATCACATTATCCAAGATTGGGGTAAGCAAGTACCGAACTGATATCAAAACTTTTTGAAAAAATTAAGAAAACCAAACTAAAAAATACTGAACAAAAAAAATATTGTTAAAATACCGAACCAAAATATTTGGTACGGTATTGGTACCAGCTAAATGCCGTACCATGCTCATTCCTAATACAAGATGAAGTGAAATTTTAAATTTTTTCAGTTCATATTATTTAAAAGTAAGTTTAGAAATAAAAATGAAACTTTCATAGTTAAAAACTATGTCAAAATTAAAGATCTACACAACAACATGAGAAATGAATACATTATTTTATCAAATATTTAATGAAAACACACAAATAAATAAAAATTCTCACAATTTTTAAATAGTAAAGTGTGACATTGTTTTTAGAACAAAGAGAGTATTTAATGTATACAAGAGTCACACGTTCATATACAACTTAAATAATATAATATTCATTCCACATTTATCCAGCTGCATATACTTACCTAGTATATTGATATGATCATGAATTATGATCAATCATTGTCATGGAATGATCAGGATCGGAACTCCTACAGAACTTTGTTCAAAAAATTGATAGTTCTTATTCATTTACCTCCCCCCACTCCCCCATTTGCCGCATGCAATATATCCAATCGTCTAAGCGGAGGGAGTGGAGGGACTAAGCAGTGCATAAATATTAGGAACAAGAATCATCAATTTTTGAATGAAGCTCCATAAAAACCCCAAGTCCAATTCGATTACATTAATGTATGCACATTTAGTACGTATATTGCCAAAATGATTTTTCATCTTATTGCAAATACCCTTTACAAAAAGATTATTTTGAATCTTAAAAACTCTATTACAAAGTACTCCCTCCGTCCTAAAAAGAATGAGACGGTTTGACTTTTGAGGAAATTAAGGGAGAGATATTTTGGTATTGACTTTCCAAAAATACCCTTGATGTGATGGGTAAAAGTACGATGTGATGGGTAGATTATTAGAAAAAGGTATGATGTGATAGGTAGGGTATGAAAAAGTAAGGGGTAAAAGTGGTTTTTTAATAGAAATGTAACGGACTTTACGGGACGCAGTTTTTTCTAAACGTAACAAACTTTTTGGGACGGAGGGAGTATATAGTATGTAGAAAAAATACATTGTATTATGATATAACTTTAATATGAATATATTAATTTTGAAATATTGTTTTCAAATATCAAATTTTTATAAAATATATCCATGTATAAATAAGGATATTGGTAGTCAAAGTGTAATTTTAGATAACGTAAAAAGTCAAATGGAAGAAGATTTTCAGATGGAGAGAGTATCTCTTTAAACATTTTCAACCTAAAAAAGCACTTGATTTACTCACTTGACAAAGGGTTCAAACATCATAAAATTGAATCTTGTAGAAAACATATTCAGAAAAAGTCTTTACCTGCATATTGTATTAGTCCCAAATAGTAAAACAATTTCCCATTTACAAGGTAAAATTTTACTTTTTTTAGAATCAATTTATTTTAAAGATGGTATAAGAATAATTAATAAAATTTATTAATATTAGAATTAGATCCAACTTTTAATATTATTACAACCTAATAAATCAGATCAAAACTTAACAATATTAAGGCCGTATTTGGAAAACAGCTTTTCGGATAGGTTTTGGCATCTTTGACTGACTTTAGCTTTTTTGACTAAGCGAACTGCAAAAATCATTGTTTGGCTAATGGCTTTTTCACTTGGCATTTTGATCCGAAAAGCCAAAATTTGAAATGCCAAGGGAAGTAGCATTTGGACTTGGCTGTTAGAATAATTAATTTTTTTAAAATCAATTTTCTTGAAAGATAATTTATAATACATATAAAAAATAAAAATAAAAGTTAAAAAAAAATACTAAAAAAAAATAAAATTTAAAATTTCAAAATTTCAAAAAAAAATGAAATGAGAAAATACAAAGTAAAAATCATTAAAAATTTGTATACTAATAATTTCTTGTGAATTGAATGAAAGTAAAAAATGAAAAAATAAATATCATGTGTCTATATATATATATATATATATATATATATATATATATAAGCTTGTCATAATGATTAGTCTTTTTTCTTCTTTTTTTTTTTTTGCAAATGATACCCTCACACTCAATCCATTTATTTAAAAGAATATAACACGTACACACTTCTACAATGTGAGTAATATATAGAGAGACAAGTACATCAGAGCATATAATAATAATAATCTCTAAATAAATAAACTCTAAATAATTAAGAAGATCGAATACATATATACTAGCTAGCTAGTAGTATATACGGAGATGAAGATGAAGACGATGATGACGACGACAACGTTAGTAATAATAATATCATTAATGATCACAACCAGAAGCGGCGGCGGCACCACCACAGACCCGGCCGGCGGGCTTAGCGGTTTGGTGAAAAGCACCTGCAAAAACACGCCGAATTACAACCTGTGCGTCCAAGTTCTGTCGGCGGACCACCGAGCCGGCAGTCCGAAAGCCGACGTGTCCACGCTAGCCATCATCGTGGTGGACGCCGTGAAGGCCGAGTCACTCAAAGCGGCGGACAAGATCAGGGAGCTCCGGCCGCGGCGGGGCGATCTGAAGGCGGCGCTAGAGAAATGCGATTTCGAGTACAACAAGGTGATCCTGGGCGCGGTCCTCGACGAGGCTTACGAGGCGCTGACTAAGGGGAACCCCAAGTTCGCGGAAGACGCCATGGTCGGCACCGCCACGTCCGCTCAGTCCTGCCAGGATGCCTTCGGCGGCGCCGCGTCTCCGCTCTCATCAGTCAACGCGCGCGTGCGGGACCTCTCTGTCGTCGCCAGGGCCATTATCCGGAACTTGCTGTAAACCACGCGCCGCCACTCCGATGAGTCCGATCCTCCCACGCGCTATAAATGCAATTCATCCATAATAAAAGAATTTAAAGCTAAGCACTCATTAATTACCAGAGTTATTAAGATTTGATGTTTCCAAATCTTTTTTAAAAATAGCCTATTTAAGTTTTTAACTAATTATCTCCAATAAAAAGTTATTATAAATCATAATACTGGTATCTATTTATTGTTGACCAGATTATGTCTTTGAATAACAAGCTAAGAGTATGATTTCATTTTCGAGATCTTTTATATGTATACATTCTAAATTAAATTGTTCGTGTATTATTCACTTGGTCAAATTTTATTCACTTTCTTTTTTCTTCTCCATTAGTCATTTGATAAGATATATAGTCTTTTTTAACATAATGCACTTCTCATAGAATTAACCATGAAAATTTAAAAAAAAAACCATCCATTCATACTAAAACCAAATACACTACACACTACCAAAACCAAAATTTTCTAAGGGGCTGTTTGTTTGAGCCTCTTAATGGTTCAGATGTCTGAATGGTTCAGCACTTAATGGTTCAGACTGTTTGTTTCAGCCTCTTAATGGTTCAGATGTCTGAATGGTTAAGAGATTTGCCTCTGAATGATTAAGTATTATACAGAGTCTGAATGGTTAAGACCTCTTATCTGAATTGATCAGACATTTGCCTCTGAATAGTTAAGCAATATACTAGCTCTTAATGGTTCAGACCTCTTACTGGTTCAGCACTTANAGCCTCTTAATGGTTCAGATGTCTGAATGGTTAAGAGATTTGCCTCTGAATGATTAAGTATTATACAGAGTCTGAATGGTTAAGACCTCTTATCTGAATTGATCAGACATTTGCCTCTGAATAGTTAAGCAATATACTAGCTCTTAATGGTTCAGACCTCTTACTGGTTCAGCACTTAATGGTTCAGACCTCTTACTGGTTCAGCACTTACCGATTCAGAAGTTTCCAAACAGCCCCTAACTCTATCTACTATATTACACAAGCAAAAACCAAAATCACTTTTAAACTACACCTTTAACCTTGAAAAAGATTGTATTACCCTTTGGGCGCAATCGATCACACAAGGTTCTTCATTCTTATGCAGTTATAGTTTCTTGTTCTCCGTGTTGGGACTGCGCATGCCCTCACCCCAACCCCGCATTAGTATGATATTGTCCGCTCTAGACCAAACCCTCACGAATTTGTTTTTTTGCACCTCCCAAAAGGCCTCATACTAATGGGGTGGGGTGAACCTATATATTTTGGTCCATTTTTTCTTCTCCCTCCGGTGTGGGACTTGAGGAATCCCCAACACTCCGCACATTTTAGCTTAGGGCAGCAAAGAAGACAGCTTGCTTTGAGGTATATGCATAATATAGTCATGTCACCACGACTTTTATATAGTCGACATTTAAATGTAGTTTTAAAATATGTAATGTTTTTCAATTCCTATAACGTTTTTCATATAAAATAATTACTTGAAAATAAGTTCAATCAAATACGGAGTATTATAAACTGAAAAAGATGATTTAAATTGGGACGAAGGAGGTAGTTACTAGGTTCTGATTATTTATAGAATCAAATTTTATTCACTTTGTTTATTTTATGTATCATTTGATAAAATAATATTCTGATATCACCTTTACTTTTATAATACTTTGGATATAACTTTTAAATATTTAAATTTTATTTTTAAATTTTACATCTAAAAATAAATTAAAAATAGAGTTTATCAAGTTTTGTAAACTCAAATGAGAAGTCGAAAGTAAAAGTAAAGAGTACGTATTCAAGCGCAACCACAGTCCATGCATAGTCCTAAAAGATTGGGCCTTCTTTTGGATCGTCACGGTCCTTTTTTAGTGGGTCTTCGCCTTACTTTCATATCAGGCCCCTTTGTGCGTTGAGCTTTGCAATAAGATTTAAGCGAATTTTTTCTTCGATGACAAAAAAAATATATTATTCCCTTTTTTAAGGCAATATTAACTCCTTTTTAAATAACATATTTGTCCATTTTTTACTTCTTTTATTAAAATTTGCAAAATTTTATCTCAAAAAGTTAAAACTCAATGTATACTTGAAGATAAGATGGAGATGCTATCTAGTTAGTTCTTTTGGTTCGTCTCACTATTATTGTCATGTTTTATCTCTATCTCTTTATTTTTCTCATATTAAATCTGCCGCCCTTAGATTTTTTCATAATCAATATAAAATTACAAAAGAAAATGAATTTTTTTTCAAAAATTTATAGAACCTGAAGTTTTTTCTATAGAAAAATATTTGTCAAAAGAAAAATGTGAACTTATATTTTTTATTTTTTCTTTCACCAACTTTGACAAAAACCTGCAAAAAGATACTCCCTCCGTCCCTGTAGGTTCTTTCAAGTTATTATTCACAGAGCTAAATGTTATTCACTTTCTTTACCTGTTTTTTTATTATTTGAAAAAATATATAGTCTTGACACATTTCTTTTGTAATTTTTTTGTTGTATTTCTTAAATATATAATTTTATTTCATAATTCTATCCCAATTTTCATATAAAATAAATTAAAAATAACTCCAGACAGACATCATAACGAGAATAGAGAAGACTCAAGAGGTAGTATGTACCATTTTTCTTTCACCTAAAAACGTGGGAATAATTTTTCAGAGTTTATATGAATGAATTGTGCTCTTGGGCTAAAGAAGTATCGCTCTCGGGTTCTGGGCTTGGCGACATGGCTTGGGCTGAGACGTTAAATATTTGTAAGGCCCATAAAGAAATCAGGTCCCGACACAACACGGAAAAAATAAATCTTTGCATAATAATAAAGTAAATTCTATCGATTAAAGTTTTTATTAATAATTAAGATTATAATAATAGATGTCTAGGAGGTCAGGTCGGGTGACCACCTCCCCATGCCCTATTGCCCTGAGCCGACCCGGGTAACTACTTTTAGAGGGCGCGATGATTAGTTGAAAAGGCTTCAAATATAACACGGAGGATGTTCATATGAAAATCTTTCGTAACTCTACAATGACAAATTGAATTTTTTTGTTAAGTTAATTTTCTTAACATTGTATCAAAATCTTGTCACCTAGAGGATACAAACAAGCGTGCAACGGTATATAAAAAAATTAATATTTACGTGTATGGTTTCAAGCGAAAGCAAATTTCGTATTCTTGCCTACATATGAAGAATGTGTTAGAATAAAAAAATTATTGGCTAGTTTAATTTTTATTATGGGTTTGTTGCTTTTATTTATAAGAAGACTAATGTCATTGCTCATACTCTAGCAAAGAGAGCTCAGACAGTCACACTCAATGTGTTGCTTGGGTTTATATATAAACCTTTAAGTAAAAAATAAATAAATTTTTAGCTTGATTGGTTCCTTAACAAACTCCAAAACCCAATAAGTTACCGCATGCCAAAGTTATAAGGCCACTGGAAATGGTGGCAACGCCCTTCGGCGTTAAGTGAGTATTAATGTCTGGGGGCGTTAAACACCGCCCCCCTCTGCCGTTATCCGGGCGTTAAAAGGTTTGTGTTAAGAACAATGCTAGGTTTACAAACAAAATATTCACAAACTTTACAAATTTACTATTTATAGTTTGAAATTTCATTTTAAAATCATTTTAGACTATTTATTTTTTCATTTAAGTTCACAAATAGAAAGTTTGTGATGTTTGTGAGCCAAGCATTTCACTTGCGTTAAACCTTTGACGCAACATATCTCCCTCTTTCAATGATTCTCCCTCCCCCAACGGCCATGATTTGGACCGTTGGGCATTAATTTTTAAAAAAATATTTTCAATATTATAAATACACTTATTTTTAAGACAACAAACACACACAACTTATTCTCATTATCTTCGTAATTCCTCTAAAATATATTATATATTTTTTAATTATCTCTACAAAATATTTATAAAATGAGATCATCATTTTTTTCAAATCTTATTATATTAATGAAATTTTTTATTGAATGTAATTTTTTAATTAATGAGTTATTTCCGTTTAAATTCAATGAAATAACAATATTTATTAATTTAATTTCAGAAGATGTGTATGTAAAAATGTAAAAAATAGAGGTTTGAAGCCTCAATTTGAAGCCTGGGGCTTCAAACTAGACCTGCCAATCAGGTCAATAAGTTCGGTTCCGGTTTGGGTCTTTTCGGTTCGGGTCTCATTCGGATATATGTTATAATCGGTTCGGGTCGGTTTGGTTCGGGTCAGTTCGGTTCCGGGTTAATTTCTGTTTGACTGGTTTTCGGTTTCGGTTCGGATTTGTATCGGTTCGGGTTTGTATCAAATCGGGTTTATATCGGTTCGGGTCTGTATTGGTTCGGGTTTGTATCGATTCGAGTTTATATCGATTCGGGTTTGTATCGATTTAGGTTTATATTAGTTCAAATATATATAAAATATTTACTAATAAATCAATAATATCACATAATAAATTTAATCAATTTATGATATACTCCGTAGTTATTTTATTATTTAACACAGACGTACATGAAATTTAATCAATTTCGGGTCTAATCGGTTCCGGGTTTAATCGGGTTCGGGTTTTATCAGTTCGGGTTTAATCGGATTCGGATCTGAATCGGGTTGAATACATTCGATTCAGGACATTTCGGGTGTTCGGGTCTATTTCGGTTCTTCTGTTTTCGGGTCCAATCGGGTTTGGTTCCGAGTTATTCGGTTCGGGTTATCGGGTCCAGGTCAGTTTTGCCAGGTCTACTCAAACCATTTCTAGTGAAATTTTGGTGCAAGTTAAAGCTAATGTGGCAGAAAGAAAAAGTTTAAAACCCCGATTTAAAATCTCGAGGCTTCACGACCATTTCCAATGCTCTAAGTAAGAGGAAGTAGATAATAAGTTTTGTGTGCTAGACATGCTCTATTTGCCCCTCCCTATTATACGTACCATGTTTCACTTTATTGTTGTAACTATTCCTCTACTCGTACCATTTTTTTCGGTACACTACTGTTTTACTTTTCTGTTCAAAAACAATTGTCAGGTTATCAGGTTATACCCGTTTCCTCCTAAATTTGATTACAAATTAAAAGGTTACTTCATCCGTTTTAAAATTAATTTTTTATTTAATTTTTCACGGTTTCTAATACGATACTTTGACCATCAATATCTTAATTTTTATATAAATATATTTTATAAAAATTATATATTTCAAAACTATGTTTCAAAATGAATCTATTCCTAATAAATTTATATGAAAATTCAATGTATTTCTTCCATAATATACGATCAAAGTTTAAAAAGTTTGACTACAAAAATCAAACAGGGAAGTTAATTTTAGGACGGAGGGAGTATGAGATTGATACATTGAGAAAAATAAAAGTTCTATATTTAAAAATTACAACAAAAGTTTTTGCAAGATAAGAAGTGATAAAACTATTTTATTTTTATCAAATAATTAATGAAAATATACATATAAACAAAAGTTATTTAGAGAATAGTGAAAAAAGTCATAAACAAAATTGGGACGGAGAGAGTGTTATTTATATATTTATGTTCATATCAATTCCTGTTTTGATATATTCTTTTTTAAAATATAAATTTTATTCTAAAATTTTGCACCATTATTTTAATAAGCTTATTTTAAAAACTCAGCCGAACTTTGTTATTCAGAAAAGCAACATAATTTTGGGATGGATTTTTGTTTTATACAAATATTTTTTTCAAAAAGAAAAAAAAAGATTATGAGAGAGAAATGAGATATAGATAGAGCACCTGTTGGGACCCGCGCTTTAGAGTTGGTTTGGCTCTATATTGCGATTAGATTGGATTTAGACACGATCCAAACGAGACACGACAAATTAGCTAACAGCTGACCATAAAACCTTAATTACATTGTCTCTTTTATTAATTAACGCAATTAATTGTTAGTCCATACACTAAACCAATCTACTTCATCATTTTCATGTTAATTTGGCTTCAACTTCAGCAAAATA